TAGACCCTGCAGTCTCACCCAGATGCGTTCTCAAGTACCGACAATTGACACCAATGGATTTAACATAAATCAGTGCTCAGTGATACCAACGTAATTCAGTCAGTAAGCTCAGACTCCTCCCTATGAACAGCATGCCTTAATGTAGTCAATTCAGTCAATGCAGCAGTACAAAGGACTCCCAAGAAGCAATGCAACAAGTAGCCTATATTCAAGCCCCTTTCCCACCGCACAAAAAAACAGCAACACCTGCCAATATCTGTTTTTTTTTTGTTAATTTAATGGAAAAGGTTACAATCATCATTCTCTCCCAGGTCAGATAACTCACAGTCACAGGGATTAATCAGCTCTGGCTCCAATTGGCAGTGATGGAAAAACAACACCCGTGTGTAAGCACTAATTTTAGCCCCTTTCCTGGTGCGATGCAGTGACAGGCCGCCACAAACTTAATGTCCATCTCTGTCCAAGTAGTGCTCGAAAAATTGTTCCAAATTAGTCTGCACCGAGTTTGAAAGAAAGACTTAATAAGTAAGTGATATAAAAAAAAGAAGTAACCATTGTTTCCACTCACCTCTATGCTGCTTTCAACTGTTTACTAACCTGTTTTCCAGCCCGTCTGTGATGTTAAACGTAACACACCAGGGGAAAAAAAAAGAATACAAAAAGCCAATAGGCGCACTTGTCTGCTGCAGAGCCATGTACACAGCTCTGGTCCTCTAACAATGGGAAAGGAGTTTATCGCCTATTTTTAGCGTGTTTTCTAGTGTTTAAAAAATCAGTGTACACATGCTAATTTTGGTGGAACGTGGGTTTAAGTCTAGAAGGGCAACTGAAGTACGTAATGTAATCTCTCTCCCCCTCACTTGTGCTATACAGGCAGACAGTGGGTGTATATGTGGCATGTGGGGCAGACAGGAGTGGGACTTAAGTGTGATGAGATATTAGCAAAACAGAGTACCTGTGGAGTACCTAGAAACTCAATAAACACACACACACACACACACACAAAATGCAATCAGCGACCAGAGAGCATTAATTTCAATCTCCCGATCACATATCTCTTCAGCCAATAACAACACAACAGCTGAACAGTCTTGGCGTCCCTAATGACTCTGAAGTGCCAACTTCGCTGCCACTCTGACAGTCCTGATTTGGGGACAGGTCTGCTCTCTGTTCAGTCACTGCCTTTTGTTACATTTCCTTCTTCTGAGAGTACGCAGCTGTTTATTTGGCAGCTGTCTCGGGGAACCCTCTGGACACAGTCATTGACCCTTGTGGGCCCCAGGTCCCTAATTTAGCCACAACTGCTCCAAAGCTCTCAGTATCGGGCTGCAGTGGACCCTGATACTCTGTCTGCTCGTGGTGTTTTCAGCCCTGCTCGCTGCAAAACCACTGCTGGAATATTTTGTCTGCTGACTGACTGTGACATTCCTGACAGTCACAACAAATCCTGACAGAATTTAAGGTTTAGGTGAGAAGTGGCGGTGGGAACAAGGAGGGCCCTCCGGGAGCTGCACAGACTGAAATACAAGCAGCAGGGACATTTTAGTGTTGTACGTTCTTTGTTTGTAGCTCAACACTCTTGACCAGAGTGACCTTCAGTGACTGCTGAAGTAGAATAAACGTCATTTCTTAGATAACCAACATTACATGAAGGAAGTCAGGGTCAGAGCTACGGAGGTGTAATCTTATTCGTGTGAACAGTAGGGGTTTGACCGTGTTTTCTGTACCAAAGGAAATACAAAAGAAGTGAATGAGATAAAGATATCTCCGAATTAAATGACTGGCCATTACTCTTACTGTAAAAAATTAAGGCATTGCAACGCATGCATACAGTATGGGCAAATAATAAAATAAAATAAGCTGTCAAAATATGCCAGTAATGCTCTTTATTCATTGTCTCTTTGGCATGGCGTGTCATCCCTCCTCTGGTTCGATTTGCTAACAGACAACGCCTGACCCGCCTGCACTTTCAGTTTTATCTTCACATGCGAAGATGTAAGCCTAAGTGTATTAGGGCTAATTGTTTGATTACAGGTTGCACTGAATGATACCAGGCGAACATGTGTACACCATTATGCCTTGTGAGCACAGCAACACGAAGCAGATAAAAATGTACATAAATGTGATTAGATGTCAGCGGCACAGCTGCGAGTCACTAGAGATTTTGTTCCATACAGGTCCAGGCAGATTTATCCGTGAGACAATTTTATACGCATGGATAAATCTGAAAGATTAATGCGATGGGGGGAAAAAACCCTTGCATAGGATGATGTTTTTGGAAAGATTACAATACATTATAAATGCTCTCAATTCAAAACACACTATGTCATCATATCTAGAGTGACTTGCAGCCTGACATGTACCTATTCAATAACCATCAGTAATTTCAGCTACAAAAAAACACCACTAACAAATGCTGTAAAATGACTTCTAAGTTCAGCTTATCTGAAATGTGTTTATCTTAAATTTCACTTGAGCTTGTGTTCTTTTTTCCCCTCTTAATCCTAGTATAAATTTTGTCCGAGCCTTAACGTATTTGGTCCCTGCAGGGATCAATAAAGTTTTCGGAGTGAAATCCATTTTCCTTCCTCTTCCACTTATCCCAGGTTCACTGTTAGTTGTTTGCCAGAGACTTTCGGCCGGTCACCTGCAGTATTTCATCACACAGTGCTAAATCCCTGTAGCTAGTAAACCTGTCAGCCCCATGCCGTGTGTATGCCTGGCTAGCTGTGAAGCTGGGGCTGGCTAACAGCTTTAGCGGTGTGGAGCTAAGAGGCTAAAGGCATGGTGTTAGGGGTTAAATCGGTATTATCCTCTCTCTCTGGTGGACCAGCGGAGACAGAGGACAGACAGGGTGACCGGGTTTAGGAGAGAGAAAGTGGGATTCAGCCCTCTGTTCCAACAGGGCTTCCCTGCATTTTTAATTGAATAACCAGAGCACGGCACCAGCAGCTGTTGGTCACAGATGTAACCCGAGGTCAGAGCCTGCAGCACGAAGCAGCCTTAGATTACATAATCAATCAGCTGCTGGTGCAAAATGCAGCCAAAGAAACTGTTTTTACTCCCTAATTCTGCAGAAGGAAGAAATATATTTCTCTCTAGAGAATGTAGATCTTTTAACAACTTTCAGTGATGTGCTGTGATATCAGCAAAGTAGTTGTAAAAAATCTCAGTGTGTTCAACATTTGTGGCTGCTGAATACAACTTGTGATTATTTTAGCTTTTGAGTTTCTGGTGGTCTGAATTTTATATGTGTATGAAATTCACGTCAGTGTGGGCTTGAAACAGGATTCACGGCTCATTGGTGATAAAGCTGAATCTTGAGCTCAGACAAAAAGCTGCAGTTTCATGGAGAATCAATCTCGGCTGCACGACATCGGTTTGCTTGTTTTTGGCCCTGATGGTCGGCCTGCCTCTGTCCTCGTGTGAAACCCAGAGAACCCAAAAATAACACGGCTCTGTCAGCTGTTGATTTGTTTTACACTGTTCAGAGCTGCTGCTCTTCAAAGGAACTCAATATGAAAACTGTAAAGTGTATTTGACATTCAGAGATAACAAAGGTCACAGAAAAAGCTGCAACTATTGGATCGGTCGATTCGTCGACAGAGAATAACTGATTTCTCAGCAGCACTTCAATTAACAGACCTCTTTAAACTGAATATAATAATCAAATCTTTTCATTCTGCCATGCTGTCTCTTTTCTTTTTGCATACTTTCCACTTCCTTCCTGTCCTGTCTTTACGCCCTGATGATTTTGTCTTGCTCGTTCTGCATTTTATTCCCCATATCCTCTTTATTCTCATTTTCATTTAGATTCACTCTCTACTTCATCTCAGTTCAGTCCATTAATCCACACTGGCTCGAACATTTGTTAATTTTAGTGCTGCCAAGCTCGTACACATCACCTCTATTGGTAGTTAGAATAAAGCAGTAAGCATTAAGATGTTATGATATAGCAAATTAAATCACATATATACCTCATTTTTACTCTCATATTCTCATATAATGTCCCTTTTCATGAAGTGTTTATGTTAAGTGTACCCCATAGCCCTGTTGTGCTTTTAATAGACAATGTATTGTCCCAGAAATAATTGAAATAAACAACATTATTGCCATTTTAAGACCATTTTACGTCACTGATGTATTGCTATTATAGTAGCATAGTAGCATAACAATGAGTAGACCCTCTAGTGGAGCAACAAACTTTTAATTCAACCAGAAATTATGGCAAAATGTGGCTCAGCATAGTTTTTTTAGGGGCACTATCTTTTGATATATGGACATGACCTTGGTCATTTCTGCTGACCTTGATAAGTCAGTAACATAATTATCATGACAGGCGTTGTACCAGTGAGATTAAAATGAGATTAACATTAAATATTTCTATGTATTGTGCGTCTGTCAGTTCAGTGTTGTCAGTATTGTATCTACAGTAGGGCTGCAACTAACGATTATTTTCACTATCAGTTAATCTGCTGATTATTTTGTAGATTAATTGATGAATCATTTGGTCAATAAAATGTCAGAAATTATTGCAGTCAGAAAAATATGCGCATCAGCTATTTAAGATCTAAAGTGTTTGGGATTTTTTGTGACAAAACAAGACATTTTTTGTGGTGGTCCTGCAACATCTACCTTGTTTTGTCAGTCCAAAATCCAAAGATGTTAAGTTTATGATATAAAACAGAGAAAAGCAGGAAACCCCCATATTTGAGAGGCTTAAAACAGCATTTTCTGCTATTATTATTCTGTTGTTCTACTAATTGTTGCAGCTCTAATTCACATACGCCAGTCCTGCGCAGAGAAATACCTGACAGGTGCAGTACTAATACTTTAATAATAGCTCTATCTCCCTCAGTAAGGTCATAAGCTCGTCAAGATTATTGATATAAAGTCCACTTTGTCAAAGCTTTGTGTTTAATGTCTCAGTTAAACTCAGTGACTTCTGTGGTCAGACTTGTGTGATGTTTAATGTTTGATGTTCTCTGTGTTTGCTGCAGGCCAGTTATCCAACATGGGAGGACTTTGTAACCAAAGGAGCCAAGCTACAATCACAGCTCAGGTAAAACACACATCCACACATGCACACACACATTTAAGAAGAATATTCCATGTATTATTTCATTTCATTTCATGCAGAGCAGCTGCCAACTGTTGTAATAACCTACAGGTCAAGTCTCGTAGCTGTGAGTCTAATGTTTAGTGCCTTTGGTCATCATCAGTGTTCAGATTTGTACCGAGTCAAAGAAATAAAAAAGGGTTTTATCAATGAATCTGGTCAGAGTTCAGTAATAAAATCCTCACACACTACAGAGCATCTCTCCTGCTCGTGAAGAGGAAATGGTACCAGAGTACCTTCAATTCAAAGTGGGGAAACACAGTTTGACTTATTTTTTTACTTATTTACCAGTCAGATTTTGCCCAATTTAAATCTCATTTTTTGAATTTCCTGTTATATTTTTAAGCAAATTTTAACAGCTCTTTGTTTTAAAATAACTGCAGAATGTTAATAGTTTGTCTTTGGTACCAAAATTCAGGCAACTTTGTCAAAATATTTCAAATAACAATCACATTTCTGCCTCTTAGCTTTCTATTGGCCCGTGGCCAGTTCTTGACTCATTCTTGAATCCTGCAAAATGCTGCCATCAAACATACTGTTTATTGTCATGTACAGTACTTTATATGAAAGCTGCATGTGTTATGACTCTGATTCATTGTGACCACTGTGTGTCACACAGTGACCCAGTAGCTGGCTCAGTATAATAACAGTATAATGACTGTGTTTCCCAGTAGGCCAGTTTACTTTGATAAGCATCGCTCCGCCTGCTGCAGCCAGTCGCAGTCCATTAGCCTTGCCAGTCAGCCAGCTACACACATGCACACACACACACACACACACACACACACACACACACACAGATACAGGCACAAATAGGACATCCACTCTGTTCAAACCGCTCTAATGTTAATGCTACTTAAAAGATCTGCTGTGGATAATTTGCACACATTAAGCTTTAACACACATTTAACTCCGCAATTGTGTTTGTTCATCAAACCGCCATAAAAAAAACAAATGCGTCACAAATGCAGAACATAAAAAAGGAAATGAATAGTTAAGTTTTGTGTTAAATTCAGTGGAGATCACCAGGAACATGATTTTCTAGCCTCTAATCCCACACCTCTGAGCCTCATACAACCCAAATCTTTACCATTATTGCCAGTTTGGAGAAGCAGCAGGGGTAAAGACATGGAAGTTACGCAAAGTACTGCTGTGGAAGAGGGCAGCAGCAAGGTATATTAGCCTCCAAAAAGAGTCCCACCTAAAAAAAAGTCAACATCAGTTTAAGTGTACGCTATATTGAGAGTTTTTTCACCACTTTACCTTTCTGTTAAACATCCTGTTCATACGGGGAAGCCATCAGCGGCTTTAGTTCTCCATCTATGCTCTCTCAAAGCCACCAGAATCCATCAACAAAAACAATAACTTTAGCTTGCTGAACACAGGAGCTGCTGATCCATTGCTGCCTGGATCACTTAGTTAGTTTGTGTTATTGTGTGACCTCAGTGAATCCAGACTAACCCATTTAAATGCCAAAGTCACAAAATAATACAAACAAACTAACTGACTGAGCCAGCGGTAGACAAACAGCTCCTGTGTTCATCAGTGTTAAATCACTGTTTTTCTCAGTGGAGTCTGGCTTTGAAGAGAGTGATAAAACGGTGTAGTTAAAGACTGTGTAGCTGTGTGATTGGATACATGAATTTAATTGAAACATCAGTAATATTTGAAATAGTGTCACTGCTTATCTTACATTTTGAAGGAGCAGTGTGCAGGATTTAGTGGCATCTAGCAGTGAGGATTGCAGATTGCAAACAGCTGAAACTTCTCCCATGTGCCAAACGTGAACCCACGTTTAAGATTCCTCCGTGTTCTTTGTTTAGGAGGTTTTTACCCAGAGCTCAATTATCAGTAAAGATCTCCTCCTCTCCACAACAAACGGACCAGGTGATGTCAACCAGTAAAAACACTGGTGTTACAGTGTCATATTGCAAATAAGTGTTTCTTTGATGCTGTTTAGCTTATCGCAGACGCGCAGCTAGCCCGGCACCTGCTAATGTGTGCTCACCTTTTTTCTCTGATAACTTAAGTTCCAGATGTTAAGGAGTTTTTTACCTGTTGCTGAATTATCCGCAGAAGTCTCTTCCTCTCTGATACAAACGGACTAGGTGATTTAAACCGAATGAATCAATTTCACATTAAACAGAATCAGTGTTTTTCCAATGCAGCTTGACGCAAAAGGGCTTATAACTAGGGTGGCAGACGCAAAAACATGAATTGCCCTGTCTAGAGCCAGTGTTGAGTTTGTTCGGTCAGGGCCACCGTAGAAACATGGCGGACTTCATGGAGATATAAATCGCTCGTTCTTAGGTAACAGAAACACAACGATTCTTGTTTTCATGTGATTACACATTATAGAAAACATAATTATTATAATGTATTCCATTTCTGCCAATATATCCCATTTAATCCTTCACTCTGGACCTTTAAGACACATAACAGCCTTATTCTCTTACCACTGCCTCAAGCTGAAGATGATTTTAAGGCATTTGATAAGACTAGTTTAACTTAATATCTTCAAAAGCTGACTTATTAAGCAGCATGATTGCTGTATTAGCATCCTGGTAGCTTATTTCCCTTGCAGGATGAGACAGAGTGATCTTTACGAGGTAATATTGCTCGCAGTGGGGCTGATTAGAAATTGTGCTTGTTCAGTCTTGTGTGGGATTTTGAAAAACAGCTCTACTCCACCCCGACTTTAAAGCAGTGTGTACCAGCTGAACAAAGACAAACCAGAGCTTCTGTCAGACTCCAGCGGGGTTTCTAGTGTCTCGTTGAGGAATGTGGGACTGTGAGTTGGGGATCATGGGACGGCAGATCAAACATGTCTGAGCACACACGAAGCCGCAGTAGTGTGTTTTAATTTTATTTTTCTGGTATCAGGACTTCATTGTAGCTTTTAAGCATTTTAGTGACTTATAGAAGATGATGCACATGGTGTGTGTGTGTGTGTGCGTGTGTGTCTCGAGTCTTTGGTATTAATATGAAAGAGAATTTCCACTGAGGTCAGACAGACACACACTCACATACACACACACACACAAACTATTGACAGCAGTGTCATATGATCTTCTTAGTTAGGTTTTCAGGGATAATGACTGTGTGTTTGTGTGTGTGTGCGTGCCTGTGTGTGTGTGTGTAGCTATAGAAACATAGACCTGGCTGGTAATGGACAACACACACACACACACACACACACACACAGACAAAAGGTCCATTGATGATGATGATGATGTGTGTGTCAGAAGGTCTCCAGTTGCACTCCTCACACTGGCCTTTGAGGGCGACTGGCCTCTCATGTGGCTCCATCAATCCTCCTTCCAAAATAAAAGACCTATTTTTCTTTTTTTAAACCAAGCAGAGGTTTGTTTATGATGTGTCCTCTGCAGCAGACCGCACCGCCCAGTTATAATTAACAGAAGTCACATGACTCACTTGGCAACCTGCCATCCAAATCTGATTCAGTTGATGTAATTTCAGTTTATCTGTTTCTTTTTTTCTGGTGTTCATACTACTTAACAGGGATGGGTGTAATTGAAATAAAATGAATACTACGACTTGTTGGTAAGGGGCTTGGTACTTTATTTTTCTTGCATCATTATCTCCTAATTTGGAGTTTCCAGTTGCTTCTGCATTGCACTTTTTGTCACTATAGGCTCAGTCTAAAACAAGACTTCCTCCTCCGTGTGCCAGTCTTTTCGACTTCTCTCTATAATGGATACCTCGTCTGCACAGATCAATAAAAAAAGAAGCTAATATAAAGCTAAATCATCGTCTGACGATAGCTGATAGGTTTCGAGATTGTATTTCGGCCAATGCGTTTCGCCTCTCCACACGGACCACTTACCTGCCACTCAAACGTGATTGGTCAATACTACTCAGACTACAAATAGAAAGCAGAGTGCTTCCGATATAATTTATACACCAATCAGCCAAAACATTAAAACCATAGGTAGGTGAAGTGAATAACATTGATCATCTTGTTACAGTGCAATATTCCATTGGGAAACCTTTGTTCCTGGCATTCATGTGGATGCTACTTGATGCGCTCCATCCATCCGAACACCGTTGCAGACAAAGTAAACCCCCTCATGGCAACGGCACTTATCGATGGCAGTGGCCCCCCAGCAGGAAAATGCATCATGCACCATGCAACATCACAAAAACTGCTCAGGCATGACCCGATGAACGGGACAAAGAGCTCAAGGTGTCGACCTGACCTCCAAATATCCCAGACCCCAACCTGATTGAACATTTGAGGGACGTGCTGGTACCCCAGGACACCCCTGATCTGCAGTGGGTGCTCCTTGGACCGGACTTGGCTCTGACCTGTCAAGGCATGGGCAAAGGATCTCTGGAGGGTGTCCTTTGGTGTCTGGCACCTTCAGATCTTTTGTGTCCTGTGGGTTGTGAGGTGGGGTACCAACATGTTGCACAGATGTTTGATCAGACTGGGAATTGGGGAATTTGGAAGCCAGGTTGATGCCTTGAGCTCTTTGTCACGTTCCTCGGGGCACTCCTGAGCAGTTTCTGTGGTGTGGCAAGGTGCATTGCCCTGCTGAAGGGCCACTGCTACTGAAGGGTGCTGTTGCTATAATGGGGGGTGTCTGGTCTGCACTGGTGTTGAAATGGGTGGAACATGTCAGGTGGCGTCCACATGAATGTCAGAACCCAAGGTTTCTCAACAGAACATTGCACTGTAACAAGATGATCAGTGTTGTTCACTTCACCTGTCAGTGGCTTAATGTTTTGGCTCATTGGTGTATACTGTAATAGTAGGGTTGCAGTGATGAACTAGTTTTAAGGGAAACCGTGATAGAAAAGTTGAGATGTTTATCATACTGTGTACATTTGCTTATCTACAATATTGGTTAAAAAAATGCAACTGGACAAAGAATCTCCTCTTAATTTTAGTTATTTGCAAAGACGAGGCTTTTTTACACTTTTTACTTCCATTAACAAAATGGTTTCAGGTTTCAATTAGAGTATTAAATTGTTTTTTTTTCAACCAAAAGTATCCCTTCTGTTTTCATTCTTTTAAGGGTCATTGTGACTGATGATAATATAAGTTCTGTTATACCATGATACTGTGAAACCGCGATATTTTCTGAGACAATTATCATACCTTGCTCATCTCAATCATGTGTGGAGGGTTTTCAGACCCTGATGTAATCAGGGCGACGTATTTCCCCCCTCTGTTGGTGTGAACAACACATTCAGCATGGAGCTATCAGTGCTTGCAGTTCTTTTTTATCAGTTTTGCTGTATTGATCAGATGTTTTGCACACTCCTATTTCTTTTGTCAACCTTTCTAAGCATCAAATAGCAGAACAAACAACATCAGAACTGCTGAGGCTGATGCTGTAACTCTTTAAATCCCCATCTCTCTGTGGCTTTTGTATGACGACATATTCCTGAGCTTCAGACTGTGATGATGCAGCACTTGAGACAATCTGTTGCCTGCAACGACAGGGCTCTTGAGGGGGGGTTAGCCCTTCTCAGGCCGGCCAGCAAACAGGACCACAGCAGAGCGACTGCCCCCAGCTGTGAGGCTTTAGTGGAAATGCATGTCAGCACGACTTGGCTTGGCACAGCTAAAGTGGACTGACTTTGGCCGTCGGAAAAACCCTATTAATGACACGCGTAATGTGACACCTCCAGTTCACCTCATCAGCAGGACCATATAGCATATTTATCATATGTATTATGTAGCATGTTAAATACATTTGCAGTATTTGGTGTGTGTTTTGTACAAAAGCGTACATCTTGTTTGGATGGATTCAGTTAACGTGTGTGGTGATTGTGTTTGATTCAGGACGACCATCGTGGTGACCGGAGCCTTCCTGGATGCTTTTCAGAAGGTGGCAGACATGGCGACAGGGACCAGAGGTACACACACACACACACACACACACAGAAACGCAGGTACACACAGTAACATACAGACACATGCAGTATGCATCTGACCTGTGGGCCAAACACACGAAGAGGAAAATCAATCTGTGTGTGTGTGTGTTTTGATATATATGCGTTTGTGTGTAGATGTGTGATGACATGTAAGTGAACCAAGGGAAATGTTTTCCCTCTTTATCTGTTTCTTCCTTCCTACAGTGTGATATTTCACTGGGTCTCTCTTTTTAATATAAATAGCAAGATCATGAGGGAACTGATTAGCTCCATCTCTTAGATCTCTGTAGAGCAGTGTGTGTGTGTGTGTGTGTGACATTATAATGTTGAAACCATTAAACATTGTGCTACTGGAGGATGAAATAGGCCAGGAAAATTGCCCGGCCAATCTGTCTTCTTATTTTCTCTCCTTGTTGTCAGTTTGTCTTTTCTGTGCCTCCATGCTAAGTTACTTTGGCTCGTTCAGGGTCTCATTTTTCTCCTTTTTTTTCTTTCTCTTGGTCTTCCTGTCTCTCTCTGTGAAGCAACAGAGTGAGACCTCATGCAGCTGCCTCGTTTTACCCTGGATTAAGTTACTCACATTCACACATACACACTTCATAGAGCAGGGCAGTCTCAGGGCTGAAGGAGCACTCCAACAATGTGGGAAATGCGCTTGTTTAATTTTGTGTTCAGAATTGAACAATAAGAGTAACCACAAGTATGGAGGTACACCTCATGGTTATGACAAACAAACACAAACACCCATGTATGAAAGTTGAACATGACCCTTCACTAAGTCCCACCCATTGAACACAGTCCAGACAATCACAGCGCAGTATCAACGAGCTTCGACTACGTCTATTCAGCCATGCTTCGTAGACTCTCATGCAATCATTTCAGATTTCCTTTATTTTCAGGCTGGCTTGTGGATTTTAAGCTTAGCGTTGTGCCTGGGGCAGGTGTAGTTGTGATACTCGTTACCCGGAGAGGTTGGAAGGAGATATATGTTTCGTCTCGTTCCAAAATCAAACCCTGAAAAGAGTAGGGTTAGCTAGCTAGCTACTGAAAGTATACTGATTGTAATAGAAGTGCTGCTTTTGCTTTTTAGTGATTGTAACAGTGAATGAAGACCTACTCTGCTTTACAGGAACAGTGAAGGGAAGCAATTTTTCTCTTTAATGTAATTGTCTTCTGTTTCAATCACCAGGTGATGACAGGGTTCACAGTTACACTATGATCTGTGCGTTAGGCTTTAGCTTCTGTCTTTATCGTTTTAACCTGTTGTTGCTGCTGAGTCAGTTTGACATTCTGGATGTATCCTCCAAACACATACTGTAGACCCTTCTGCCTGCAGGGTAACCTGAAAGAAGCAGGGTAGGGAGTAGTTAGTGACTCCATGCTAGCTCAGACAGCTTGATGGATCGTCACTAAGGGGTGTATCTGAGGGGGAAGGTCAATTCCAAAACCTTGGACATAAATAGAGTACTCCATGAATTTAGCATTGCACTCCTAAAACACTGCAGGGGAGGGACAGGGAATACCTGTGTGTTTTAAGCTCTAGTGCCTGTGTGCTGGGGCTTTGTTAAGACAATCAGCTGCCAGTATGATTGTGTAACACAGAAGTTCAGTTGGTATTTAAAGGAAATCCAGTAACGTGTGCGTGCGTGTGTGTGTGCGTGCGTGCGTGCGTGCGTGCGTGCGTGCGTGCATGCCGCTCCCCTCCATGGAAGCCTCTGTAGACCTGCTCTGTCATGTCTCAGTATTGTTGTTTGTTTCCCAAAAAAAGAGGCAATGCACATTAGCAAACAACACCAAAAAAACAGAAACACAAAACACACCCTGTACTGGCCCCATAGACTGTGAATGGCCGAGACTGAGCAGACTGCAGATCAGTAACCGTACAATCCTTTACATACCGAGATTAATGTGGAAACAAAACGGCTTCAGGCAGATCACATTCTGCAGCACATGGCACTGCATAAACAAAGCCTGCAAACGTTTCACTGTCATAAGGTATCACCATGAATGTCACAAGACATACAGTATAGTTCAACAACAAGAGGAGAAAGTTTGTGCAGTGTACAGCCGTAGACACAGAGCAGTCAGCGCTCACAGCATGTGTTTATCTCTCAGTTAAACCTGAACTGACAGTGTCTCATACCTACATAATATGTGCTCTCTGTGTGTGTGAATGACAGCAGGTCATAGTTGCTAAAATATATAAAACCATGTTGAAAGTCCACAGGCTTAAATTCTGCTGCAGCCAGTGTCCTTTACTGTCAACGTGTCTCCCAAGCAAGGCACTGTAACCCTTTATCTGCCTGCTGTGTCTTATTAAAGCTGAATTTACATTCTCTGTGTCTGTGAAACAGTGAGGGCCCACTAATGTCAATTTTGAATTTGTTCATGTATGCAAGGGGCTGGACTAGCATGTGCTTGCATCCTAGATGTGTTAAAATCAGGCCTGTCAAGCGATTTAAAAAAAAAAACAAATCTAATTAATCACATGCTTGTGCATCAATTTTTGCTGTGGAAGTATTTAACAAATTTCAATTCAAAAGTTTTGGCAGATGTGTTTGAGTAAAGCTGCTAGATTTTGGACACAATTGTCCCCCTGTCCTCTACCACCCAAACTGGTCTGCAGTCTATTGCAATCCATTGTGTCGGGGAGTTAGTTAGCTGGTAACAGGTAGACTCAGTTTGCCTCTGAACGCCTGGCTGAGTGATGCTTGACGAGGCTGGCTGCTAGCGCTAGCATCAGAGGCTGTGCTAGCTCAGACCTCGTGGTTCGTTGCTAAATGCTTTGCGTTGAGGTGATATTTCAGGCTTGAAGTTCTCCAATGGTACAAAAATTCCTTCCTGCAGAAATTGCATGGAACAGTGCTCCTATCAACAGTTCCATTTGGGCATTTTTTGAATATAAATGTTCCGTTCATGGAGCCAAGCAGCGTTGTCTCGTCTGCCTCCATCATGTGACAAAGCCACTGCGGCCTTCAATAACGCTTGAGGTCACCAAAAAGGCGATTAATCAGCGTTAATTTTTTTAACGTGATATTTTTTCTGTCATTAATTAATCAAAATTAAAATGTTAGTTTGACAGCCCCAGTTAAAATACATACAACAAAAGTGTGAACATGTCCGTTCTGTTTGTTCAGAGTACATCCTGCTCTTAGTCAGAATGGAGAAAGACTTTTTTGCAAACAAGATCAGATTTGACAGCTGGTTATGGTGCCAAAAGCGAGATTCAAACCTCAAACCTCTGTAGGCATCGATTAAATGTCTAAAGAGACTGAGACTGTCATTGGGACACTGCAGTTCCAAGGGGGGAATGCTCAGCTGTGGCATGTACTACTTAGTTTGCTCACAATGTGTCCTGTAGCATATAAAAACACCTTATGGTCATTTTAACAAAGTAATAAACTAGATTTTCACTCAAGGGGGTCTTTAAGATGCTGCTGCTCAGGTGGTAGAGTGGATTGGTCATAATTTCTTGTATTGGTGGTTAAAATCCAGTCTTCATTGTCAGAGTGTTTGTGAGAAAGACACTGAATCCCAATTTGCTCCCAAAATGAGTGTGTATGGGAGGAGAAAATGTAAGATTGCCAGATTTATTGTGTCCTCTTTTTTCGAAGTGTAGAACCTCTCAAACCCATTTCTCCTTTGTGTCATGTGGCTCTTAAAACAAATTGTTAAACAATCATTTTACAGGTCAACAGAAAATTGATCCACAGCCTTCAAAAGGAAATCTAGACAGAATATTTCTAAATCACCATCATCACAAATGACATTCAATAAAGATCGCAAAGGTCACTGATAACCCAGCTGTTGATGTGAGCATTGGCTGCTGCAGGGAGTCAAATGCTGCTGAGACTCTGTCAGTTATCAATCAGCCGACAGAAGAAGCCATTTGTGAAGCGAACTGGACAATCATTCTTCGGTTCCAGCCTCTCAAAGGAGAACTTGCTGCTTTTCTTTGTTGTATATACAGTAGTTATAAATTGAATACCTTTCCGTTTCAGGCTGCTGGCTGGACAAAAAAAGACATTTTAAGATGTCAGCTTGGGTTCTCAGTATTTTTCGCTATTTTTTTTTATCACTTAATTAGATACTTGCATTTATTTATTTACAGATAAACCTGTTAAAACAACTGTAAGATGCAGCCCTTAGTATCATTTCCAGCAACCTGTAGATGTCCCATCGTTTTAACCAAGGGTTGATGTGGGATGACCAGAGTAGAAATGTCACTCCCATTCATTTGAATGTGGGTAGTGCATCCAGGCTGTGGCACACTGTCTTAAGTCTTTGTGTCTAATTTACATGACTTGATTCTTTGATATCATTGATTGAGTATTGGTAGAAAACAGATTTGATCGTTGTGATTCAGCCTGCTTGGTTCTGGCCTGGTTTTGTCCCATTTGGCACCTTGTCTAGGTTAACCTCACTTGGGACTGTTACCATCTGTTAGCAGTTAGCTCAGTGTAAAGCTAATTAGGCTGGTTGACCGAGCTCATTCCACTGTTCTCCCTCTGTGTGTGTGTGTTTGTGTGCACCTGTGTGGTGTGTTTTGACAGCTGTCTCCTCCTCTATCTATGGATGTATATTGATGACAGAAGATTTGAGAGAGCACAAAACAAAATCTGAGTGCTACTCAGTCTGAAAGTCAACCTAAAAGAGTGCACAGGCACAGATTCGTAATTGCGTGCATTCCTGATCGCGTGTGAGCTCGTTTCTGAGTCAGCTCTCTGAATTTCGGTCAGCTGTTGCAGCTTCCTGGCACTTATGGTCAACCGCTTTAGTCTAGCAAGGTGCAACAGGACACATCTGGACAACAGAGTTGGATTATATTTATAGCGAATAACTACTTTTAAATTATTTTGAAACTGATCGGGGATTGAAAAAAAACACCCTGTCCCAGCTTTTACTTTGAAAGTAAAAGAAGGTGTCCAACAGGAACACCCTTCACTACCAGGTCAAAGTGAGCAGGTGACATTCTGAACAGT